TGTCCGGGGTGGGGGTCGGGACCCTTTAAGCACAGCCCTCGGCTAGACTGAGACAGTATCTCCACGCTCTAAGTCCTCATCTGATGCCCTGCCGGCACTGCTTCCGGCCATCCTTAACCCCGGTTCAGGGTCCACTTAATGTGGACATGCTAGTTCGAATTTGCAAAACACTAATTCGAACTAGTTTTTTAGTCTGGATCCGTTAGTTCGAATTAACGTTGTAGTGTAGACGTACCCTAATATATTTAGCTTCCCAACATCCATGCACCAGAGCGAGGAACTGTAAATCTATGTCTCCCAGCCCAGCACCTGTGCCCAGAATCACCTACGGCAGTGGGGGGCAGCCTGCGGGCCCGGGAGCCACATGTGGCCCATCGGGGTCCTCTGACTTCCCTCACCACCTACCATTTCCATCCCTAGGTCAGTACTGACTGGGATCTCAAAAGGAAGCAAAGCCTCTGCTCCCTATTTGCATCCTTGTGGATGCTCGGAAGGAGCTTTGCCATGGGCAGGGAGGGGCAGGACCATGTCTCCACCTGCGCCCGTTAGCCCACAGCGCTGGCCAGTTCCTCACTCTCGGTTGATTGTGGAAACTTCTCTTCCTTACTGCGACATGGCTCAGGATAGTGGCCAGGCATGGCGAGAGACGTCCGACCTTCCGGGGTAGTGCAGCAGGTGCTCTGTGTTTGCTGCCTGTGAGGAATTCTTCCTGAGTCGTCTAGACTTCCTTCTGGTGCCTGTGTAACCCAGGGGTGGGGAGTCACCAGGCCCTGCACCCCCATCCTCATTCAGCAGCGCATTTCCCCTTCAGCAAGCCCCGCCTCCGGCCTTTTTCCTGCGGCCCGGGCAAAAGCGTGGCCTGGTCACACTTCCCTGCCCAGGCTCAGGTTACAGAAGGCCTCAGCCATTGTGTAGTGGGGAAGGCTGCCGCATTGAAATTCCCATCACCATCTCACTACTGGGGCAGTGCCCAGGGAAACTGAGGCCCACATGTGAGGTTACCACAGGACAGTGAAAAATCACATGCAAGATAACAATGCGAGCAGAGCGAATACAACCCCCGCTTTGTCACAGCCTACAACAGCCTATGCCCAGCTCCTCTTCACCCTCCTTAGTTGCGTTATATTGTGCCCTATGCATGCTCAAATCCAGAGTTGAGGGTTCTCCCTTTCTTTTCTATTGCCAGTATGGGAGAGATGAAGTACTTGGGGTACTACATGCAGCTTGAGAGCCATGCATTCAGCAGAAGGGCTGCTTTCATACTTTAAACTTGATTTTGCTTGCAGTGAAGTTATTTTACACTCCTCATTTCCTCAAGCTTAAGACAATTATTTCTCTGTATTTATGGTCTGGCAAAATTTCTCTTCTGGATTAATGTCCCTGGGTAACCACATGGCCGCTCTGTGTCTGTCGGGAATGGTTTTCAGTATTTCAAACTTGGAGATGGCCCATTTCTAGGACTTTTTAAGGGGGTTTGATTCCAGCCTATCATTCCTCCAGGTCTATCCCCCTTTCCCCGCGTACAGCAGGTATAGAACAATGTCACCGTTTTTGTGAAGCATTCATGCTCACAGTTCATGGAATGCTTTCATGGCAATGCTGCTGGAAAATTGTGGGAAAGGGCAGAAAAATGTCTTGTGAATGCCAGCCATTTTCCTCTTCCAACGGACCATTTATTTTTTTCACCAGTGCTAACTGCCACGATGTTTTGCAACAAAAGGTAAACTAATTATCAGCCTTGTTTGGTTCCATTTAGCTGATATGGACAGGCAGATCCTCAGCATCATGAGTATGTAGTTGTGATGTTCCCATCATGGACAAGCAGGCAGCTAAATCCACATGCATTTAACTTGGAAGCACACCCCATCTCTTGAGAATGCTAAGACAGACCGCTGAGTCCATAACGAAGTCTGCCAGTCAGAGACAAAAACATCCCAGCTGGCGAGTTCTAAAGGAGCCTTGGATTCTCCAGTAGATCAGAGATTTCTATTCTTCAAGAAGGATAATCGCAGGGAGGATGCCGCTAGCTGCTACCAATTAAATCAATCCTAATTCGTTGCATTGGTTGTTGTTTGTGGAGTGGTAGCATCTCTCCGCCGGAGATCAGAACGCCATTGTGCTAGGTGCTGTACAAAGAAAGAACCAAAAGATGGCCTATGCCACAGTTTACAACCAAAGCATAAAACAAAGTACACCCGGTAAATACAACAGACAAACGGGAGCACATGGAGACAGTACTCCTCAGCATGATAGGCAGTGATGTCTGCTCTCCAGTTCCCTGACTGCTATCTCGTTTTCTGTAGGCAATTCTGTAGTCAACTTGACTAATCCCAAGATGAGGAGAAAAGAACAGAGTTCTAATCTGGACAAGCCACTTCCCCTCTCTCGGTTTCAATTTCCCTAGCAGCAGTACAAGGAGGATATTCAATTCCTCGGGGATATCAGGAGCATGGATTTGCTGCTGTCTCTACTATGCTTTAAAATATGGAAAGCCCACTTTAAATATGAAATGTTTGTAGAAGTATTTTATTTTTCTCAGAAGGGGTTAATTTCTCCATGACTAAATTACTGTATAGGTAACCCACTGATGAGTGAGCCATAAGTCCCCATGAATTCTCAGTCCACACAAGATACGGGTTTGCTACAGCTGCAATTAGAACAGGTGTTGCTGTTTAGCTCAAGCTATAGCAGCTTGTGATTTAGGTATCGGGTTCAATCGCTAGTGGGGTGCTCTTCATTCTTCTGTTTTTAAAGCTTGCTTCTGTGATTGTAGGAGGGCCTTGATGTCAAAGAACCCAGGGCTGTGTGAACAAAGCAACAGTCAGTGCATTGTTACCACTGTGTTCTGCTCTCTTTTGCTACAGAATGAGGAGGAAGAAATCAAACTGGAAATCAATATGTTAAAGAAATACTCTCATCACCGGAATATTGCAACGTATTACGGAGCATTTGTGAAGCAGAGTCCTGCAGGCCAGGATGACCAGCTGTGGGTAAGTGTTGAATCCCATCTGTGTTCATCGGATTTCCATAGGGGAGCAGATCTTCCTTGGGAGATCCGGTGTGCGTAGCTGTCAGTGAGACTCAGCTTTTGGCTTTGAGGACTGTTTCTGAGGGAGACTTTTGGCCTACGTGTCTGCCCCACCTACGGTTGCGGTGTGAATTGAACGGGCACAAGTGAGACTTGATACGTTTCATGGTGGCATGGTTCCTTTCAGACTTTTGGCCTGTGTGTCTGCCCCACCTGTGGTTGCGGTGTGAATTGAAGGGGCACAAGTGAGACTTGATACATTTCATGGTGGCATGGTTCCTTTCAGACTGCTAGGTAGTCAAAACACAAAATAGTCGTGTAGATAAATGTCCTTTTTTCCAAAACACATAAATCCTTTTTTCCCCTATTGAAAATGTTAATTGAAAAACTATTCTTTTAATTTTTGATTTTCCATTTTACATTCCTTCCCCTCTTTTGTGCCTCCTCTTGTCGTTTTATTTGTTCTCCTTTTTCCAGTGGCAAAATGGAAAAAAGCAAAAAAGGGGAGTTAAAATGGAGACAAGACGGGAAAATAAATACAGGCAGTCCCCGAGTTAGGGAAAATAAATACCGAAAATATGCACTAAAAACATCTGTAGTGATTTTTTTCAAAATTTGTTCTTTCTGAAAACTTTGAAACAAAATAATATTCTAAATGTTCTCAAAATTCTTCCTCTGCCCTGCAATTTTCCAACCAGCTCTAGTAAGGAAAAACATGTAATAAGTGAGAAGCCAGGTTCATTGTTCAGAAAATGAACATTTGCTCCACATTTACAGTTCTTAGAGGTAGAGTACAGCACTGCACATTTATAGGTAAGCCTCACTCTGGTAGACCAGAACTTGTACAGTGTATTTAAGTGGGAAGCTGTGTTGAGCGCATGTACTGTATTTGCCTCCCTGCAGTTGGTGATGGAATATTGTGGAGCTGGCTCTGTAACAGATTTGGTAAAGAAGACAAAAGGAAACTGTTTCAAGGAGGACTGGATTGCATATATCTGCAGAGAGGTTCTCAGGGTGAGTATTGCTAACAGGGTTTGTTCCTTGCTACTTTCATAAGAATGGCCATACTGGGTCAGACCAGAGGGAATGAACAGAATAGTAACCAATTGCATAGCTGAAGTCGATGTACCTTTTATATTTAATTTATCTGGCATTTGCACTGTAGGAGGTTGACGGGAGAAACTCTCCTGCTGA